GCATGGGCTGTGCAATGCCATGTTTGTGCTGGAGTGAGTGAGGGAGTTTGCAGTCTGTCACCCTCTCCTGCCGGTGTCATGCCTGCGGACCCCTGAGAACAAGCCTGGGGGGATGGCAGGGGGGATTTTTCTTGTTACTAGCAGTGCTATGGATAACAGAGGCATATTGGTTTTTACTGAATGTGTTTGTTTTGCTCATATCTGTGTAGCCTACTGAAAGGGCTCCAAAACATTCTCAGCTAAAAGCATGAGCTGTTCCATTCTGAGCTTGAAAAGTCATTTCTGTACCCAGGAGCTGTACTCATTCTTGGTGGAGTGGGCATAGTAACACACACTGTGGAGTGGATTATACTTATGTGATTATAGCCTCTAGGCAACAACCTGGTGCTTAAGAAATGAGTCAGTCAGAAAGACCAAGGCAGAGGGAATCAGATTCAGTGATTATAAGATTTGCTTCCAAAAGATCTGGACCAAAGTATGCAGTGTTTCTTCAAGATGCTTGTCCTGATAGCCAACTAAACAGCATGTGTAAGAATACTTTATGTCATTTGGTGGCTCCCAAGACTCTGAAGAAGCAACAGCCACACACAAGGACTTACAGCATGACAGACTGGCTGGGTATCCATGGGCAGGAATAGCTGGGATGTGTCAGTGAAAACCTGGCCGGGCTGCTGTTGGCTGTGTTAGTGGAGGGAAACCTGCCAGTGAAGAATAGGAGCAGATTCCTGGGAAATACATCCAGGAAAAGGGAAGAGACAGGATGAGAAGGCGAGAAATGCATGCAGGGAAACAGTGGCAGAAAGAGAAAGAACAAATGAGAACTGGCAAGTTGATAAAAGAACAAAAGGGCTTTGTCTCACACTAAAGGCAGCTAACTACACAAATCATTTTCCCATGTAAGCAATTACTGCAGCTACCCCAGGGATAGTATGTGGTTGAAAAACAGAAGATGAGTTCTTTACATTCATAACTAGGTCTGACAAATCCTCCATCAATATGGCTCATGATGCTCTGGGCCATGTCAGGCAAGCAGAGAAATTGAAACTTGATTGTGCAGTTTGATGGGATCCCTATTCTAAAAATTGCCTGTCCATCTGTACACAGGGTTAAGCCGTCAGCTAGTGGAACAGAAAGAACAGCGGCTTCTCGAAGGTGGCAAGAGGTTTGGTTTATTCCTCTTTCATTCCTGACAGCAGCTGTTGACAGAAGCTTGCAGCAGTCAGTGCAGTCACGTAGGCATGAGTCAGGTAAAAATCAGACATAAGTCTGAGATTCCCTTTCAGCCTGATTTTCAGAAACGCTGAATGCAGGCAACTCCCATTCAAACCAGAGTTTGTGTCTGATAGTTGCTTTTCACCCTCTAGAATCAGCTTTTGGCAACAGGTGTCCTGTTGAGACTGAGAAATTCATAATGAAGTTAATGTTCATGATCTGATCTGTTTTGTTAGACCTCATCTCATGAGTGACCAAGTCATGACACCAATGAGGTCTCAGCTTCACAATCTCCTATTGCCACTGCTCAGTTGACCTTAGCCCTGGGTATAAATTTACCTGTCTTCCTGCTCTCCATTTACCGGCACAAACTTATCTCACTGCTTGTGCTGTAAGTATTTTGACATCAGCCACTCCAAAATTAGAAACTGATGTTATGGAAAACTTAATAACATTAAAGAAATGCCAACCCAACTTCTCTGCTGCCTCATGCTGAGCTTTGTTTGTCTGAGGAATTTCTTGCATTTCACAACCAACCAGAGGATGCAGGTTCAGGATTGTGCCCCAGCAGGGATATGATGCAGCTCAAGCCCCAGACTAGGATTCCATGGCATTTAGGTTACTCTCTATAACAGCTCCCCAACCCATGTCTTGCCTGACCCTTGGTCTGCCTTCTCCTCAGTCTCCTGTCCAGGAACAAGAGCTTACTGGCTTTCTCTCATCTTTGGTCTTGCTAAGGTTTGGGGTTGAATGTTTGGGGTCACAAGCACAGAACATCCCATGTCTCAGCTCAGGCAACTCGAGCCCTAGAAACTTGGCTGATCCTGTCTCTTTTGCTTCCCGAGAAAATAGTGTTCATTTATTCACCTAAGCCCCTTTCTAAAGCTCCTTTTGAGTCTTATTCTCTCCGAAGTTGTTGGGGGTTTGTTTCCTCAGGTTTTTTGCTCTTGTGCAATGCCTTCTAGATGCCGCCCCATGAAGGCTGTTGCCTGGGAGCTTTTACCTGGGGCGAAGGTCCAGCCGCACCCCCCAGGAGCTGGGGCTGCCCCTCCCCAGCTGCTGCGAGAAAGTTTGCCTCTGCAGCACTGAGAACAAGCAGAAACAAAGAGCCCGGAGGAGGTGGGGAGGGGAGAAAGGAAGAATGAGCTAGATTAGGGGAAATACAGCCTGGAAGAAAAGGAAAGAACCAGCTGATCTGAAAGCCCCGATAAAAGCCCAAGACAAAGGACGATAGAGCCTGGGAGATTACCAAGGGGAAGCGGGAGGAGGAGCAGAGAGACGCAGCAGAACCTAAGTGGGAATGATGTAAAGTGCTGCAGGGAGGAGGGGAGTTTCCTACCTAAAGCAGACAGTTTTAATTTACTCAACCACTTCCATTTACAGGAATCGAGGCCCCTTTCTCCCTTCTGACTGGGAGCACCCGACAAACGAAGCAGCTGCTCCAGAGGGGAAGGGTATTTGTGTCCATGCCACAGCCCTGACAGCACCAGCCCCGATTGCTCATCTGTTTCCAAGTACAACCGAGACATTTCGCTGGTGGGCAGAGATGTCAGGGACACTGCATCCAGCACCCTGCAGGGGAGGAAGCATTAGTACTGCTGTTGTTAGCCTTGTTATTTTCTCCTAATAAAAAGGTGGTCATGACTCACTCCATTAAGAAACAAAAGCAGAGCTGTAATCTACTGAAAGGCAGTTGTTTGGATGCTCAGCATTAGGTGTGTAAAAGGAAGAAGGTCAGCGGCAGGTCAGTCAGGTGATATACACCCTGTCACTCGCACAGGCCAAACTTCAGCTACTCCCCAGAGAGTTTATTTTCTGGGCAGGTGTGATTTGCCCCCACCTTCAGAGTAGCACTTCAGGCAGTGGGGGGGGGGGGGGGGGAGGCGAGAGGGGGGGAGAAGCTCTCTTTCCCACCCCTCCACATTTCAGTTGGGTTTCCTGAGAGGAAATGATGCTCTCGTGTGACTGCGTTGGCCCCCTCCTTCCTCCTGGCAGGGAGGAGCACACCAGCATCTGCCCGCAGCTTCTCTTCCCCTCCCTGCACCACACCGGGACCAGTTTGCCAGCTGGGCTGTTACTGGGGGCTGAGTCCCAAAAGATCCAGGCTGCTTCTCAGCGAGGAAGAAGCGGCTCCTGAAGCTGGGGGCTGAGAGGAAGGAAAGGCAGGCTGTGTGCAGGCGGTGTGGAGATTTCCTGTGTGAGCAGAACCAGGTCACTGCACCCCTGCCTGTGCACTGGCACATGGATCTCACCAGTACCGTGTTTTCAGCAATGGCCAGCTGCTCCCCAGGGTGGGTGCAGGGGAAGGGAAGGAGCTGGGCTGCTGTGGCAGCAGTGGCCAGGTGAAGACAACACCCACGCTCAAATGTGCTTTGAACATCTGCCCCTACCCACAAGCTACTTCTATTTTTGTTCTGTCTCGTACCCTGGCTGACTCAGAGGAGGGGAGCAAGGGGAATCAGGTTAGAAAGAGCCAGATGGGGGGGAGGGAGGGGAGGCTGCAGGGAGTTTGAAAGAGGAAGAGGAGGAGGAGTTGCTTCAAAACCAGTAGTTGCTATTCTTTCCATCAGCTTGAACGTTTTCCTCGCAGTCTGTTTCATGGCTCTTCTGTTTCAGCTGCAGGCAGTTTGAGGCAGGGATGGCACTTCCTGCCTGCTGTGGAGGTGAACATTCTTTCAGGGCACCATCAGAATAAATGACACCCTGCTTTTACACTGCTCCACTGTCATCTGCCTGGGCTGTAATGAGCTTGGCTGGAGCTCATCCTTTTGCCTAACTTCTAGGAATTCCACTCCTCTTTTTGGTCTCTTTACAAACCTTATCTACAAGGAAAGGGCAAGTGCCAAATTTCCTAATTCCTGTGTGTCTAAGTGTCATGATTTCTGGACAAAGGCTCAGTTAGTAGTGTAAGTCTTGCAAGTCCTTGAGGCACAGTCTTGCAGCCACAACGAAAGGGACATGAGACCCTCCCCAGACAGCCATGCCAGCAATTCTCCTATTGCAGGTGACCCTCTCATCCCTGTCCCTATCCCTCCAGAGCATTCATTAGTTTTGCAGAAATGGCACATCTTGCTTTGTCCCAGTGTGTTACTCCTTGTCTTCTCCTTTGCTGACAGACTGCAAACCTTGGGCCAAGTAACCACACATCCTCGGGGATGTTCCCCAGGGAGTTCATGCTGATGAATTCAGTTGCCGAAGCTGCCTAGATACAAACAGTGATCTAAACAACAGGGACCCAGTTCTTTCCAAGGGGGTGTAGGAGCAGGCAGCTCCCATCCCCCGAGCAGCAGCGCTCTCGCAAGCAGGCCTTCCCATGCTCAGGCTTTGCTGGGGGTGAGGAAACGCACAGTGAGGGCGGAATAAACGGAACTGAAGCCCCATTTGCAATCTGGTGTGAGAAACCTGCCCCGGCGTTGCCCTTCCTTCCTTCCTTCATCCTTTCCCTACTGCTCCCCCGCCCCCCCGGTACGCTTCCCGGCTCCTCTGACAGGCTGGGGAGGGGGAGCGGTGATGCCGCGATGAGCCTCAGGCCGATGAGTGGAGAATTTTTGCGGCGTTTTTCAGCTTCCTCTGCCTCCTTGCCTGACTAACGCGGCCGTGGGGGGTGCGGAGGGAGGGGATCCCCGCCGGGGGGCGGTGCGCGGGGCGGGGGATGCCCATGTTTGGGAGGAGGGCGCGTCACTCCCCTAATATGGGCAGTGTCGTCACGGCCCGGCCTCCCATTCATATAAATGCCCGGCGGCCCCGGCCGGGATTCCCTGCCCGGGCTCGGCGCGGAGTCTCCGTCCCTCCTGTCCCATCCAACACCACCGGCCGAGCTCCCGCGGCTCCGCGCTACCACCGGGACCCGTCCCGCCGCTCTGCCCGCTCCTGCCCCGGCTGCGGCGGGGCGCGACCCTCGGTCGGCATGAAAGTCACGTCCCTCGACTGCCGCCAGCTGCGGAAGCTGCTGCGGAAGGAGCCCTCCCGCTGCCTGGTGCTGGACTGCCGGCCCTACCTGTCCTACTCTGCCTCCTGCCTCCGCGGCTCGCTGAACGTGAACCTGAACTCGGTGGTGATGCGGCGGGCCCGCGGCGGGGCCGTGCCCCTGCACTTCGTGGTGCCCGACGCGGCCGCCCGGGCCCGGCTGCTGCTGGGCGGAGAGGGGCCGGCCGGGACCGCCCGCCTGGCCGCCGTGGTGGTGCTGGACCAGAGCACGGGGCACTGGCAGAAGCTGAAGAAGGACAGCACAGCCCAGATCGTCCTCAACGCTCTGCTCTCCAGCCTGCCAGAGGCCGGGGCCAGAGTCTGCTTCCTGAAAGGTGAGAGGGGTGGCGGGGAGAAGGGGGCCGGGGAGGAGCGGCGCGATCGACCCTCCAAGCTCGTCTGGTTGGCGGCGGGCCCCGCAGTGCTCCCGTCCCCTCTCGTTCGCCCCACAGTTAACCTGATTATTCGTGGAGGGCAGAGAGGTAACGCCGGGATTTTGTTTCTTTTCCACCCACTGGAAATAAATCCCGGATAGGCTCTGCGGGCTGAGCTGAAATGCCTTTCCGCTCACCCCCGCCGGGCGTTTAAGAGGCTGATGGAAAATAGAGAATATTAGGGAAGAACAGCAAAAGTTGGTTTATCAAAAGAGAGAGGGGACGGTGACGAGAGACATCGAGGCTGCATGGAAAATAAAATCAACCCCGCGGATGAGAGGAGAGACGAGGTCACCGCTTCTTGCTCTCTGGGTAGCGACACGGAGCGGCCCGCGTTGGGCACCTGAAACTCAGGGATCGATGTCCCCCTCTCCACCCAGGGCGGAGAGGTTTCTCTCTCCATCGGGCACATCGACATTGGCAGGGGAAACCCAGAGGTGAAACTCTAGGGCTCGTCGGGGACAGAAATACCTCCTCCCCTCACGTGTGTTACAGCCCTTAGATTGCGGTTCTTTGTTTTCCTTCCGTGTAACCCAGGGATAATAAAACAATAAATAGCATAGCAAACATAGCAGCGCGCCCTTTCCCTGCTCTCCCGCCGCTGCCTCCCCTGCACTTCTCCTGGCAGCGCCTTTGTCCTTCTGTCCTCTCGGTTTTCTCAGCACACCCCTGACCTCCTCCCGGAGCGGGGCCGTGTCCGGGCGGGGCCGCTCCCGCCCGTAGCACCGCACACGCTGTTGCCGCGGGGCCTCCGGAGCGGGGCTACGCCGAAGTAGCAGTTCCTAAACATCCCCCTTGCTGTATCACGAGGCCATAAATGGAGGAAAAGACCAGGCGATGTTTCTTGAATAAACCCTGCTTCTGTGTCCTCACCGCCCATGGTTAATTCACTCTTATTAAGCCTTTTATCACACTAGTTTTTCTCCTGATGAACCCGGTTGGAGGGCATCTCCTCCGGGGCAAAGGCATCTCCAGCCTGAGTATTGTCCGGTACCGAGGTAGGGGGTTGTTCCCCGAGGGGTTTGTCACCACCCTGGCTCTGTCCTGGAGTCTGACAGTCACCCAAAATCACAAATTTTGCTACTGCAGGGCAGGGATACTGGTACTGTGCTTGGCCACTCAAATCCTTAAGGATCACACTAAAGTAGAGATTAAGAAACATCTCCAGGGTCACGCTGGAAAGTCTGTGGCAAACCAGGAGCCGAATTAAGCTCTGCTGACTGCTCGTTTGGCCACGAGATCGTCCTTCCCGCCTCATGTACTAGCCCCACGCTTTGAAGTGGTGCCTGTGGCTGTGGTCAGTTTGTCAGGGGTGGGGGGTTGATGTAGGCTCTGCTTTGTACCTCTTGTGTTGAGAAGTGTCTTATCTTGAAAGCCTGACGATTTGAGGCGAAAGACATTTCCTCTTAGTGTATGAGAAAGTTTCCTCCTTTTCCTGCTGTGGTTCCCCTTTGCTTTGCTGGAAGTGCTCCAGGTTGCAGGATCAGGCCCGTGAAGTCCACAGTTTCAGATCCGGTGTGGCCCAAGAAGCCAGTGACTCAGTGGACAGCGCTGGTGATTCAGTGCGGCCATGGACCCCCAGGAAGCTGTCATGGTCTGGGCAAGATCCTTGACAGAGAGGAGATTTAAGTCATCCTGGAGAAACGGGTTCTGATCAGGAAAAAAGGTCTTTTGGAGTTCTCTACTAACAACTTTGCAGATAATAGGCTCTAAAACCCCCAGGGAAAAAACCCAACCAAACAAAAAAACTCCTTGAGGTTGCTCCTTATATTTCTATTCTCCCTAGGCATGGGGAGCGGGGAGGAGGTTTTGAAGTGCTAAGGTGATCTCCTTGCAATGATAAGATATGAGGAAGTCACCCCCACACACCAGGTCACTAAGAATCCTGGGGGTCTCACCTCAGGGAGGGCAGGGAGCACAGAGCCACTCCATTCCAGGCCCTCTTCCTTCCCTCCCCTTCTGGCTTCCAGGGTTTGAGTGACACATCTTTCATGTGTGTAGGTGCAGTTTCATTCTGGGTGAGCTCAGCCCCAGCACGGTGAGAGTGGTTGCGTGGCGGGGGAAGAGCTTGCAGAAGGATAAAATAACGGATCGTCCCTTGGTGCTGATAACGATTCTATTACTTATTGATTGAAACAGAAGCGCAGCTCAGCTGCCTGTGATGAGCAACCTCGTATTTGCAGAAATGACCTCAGGGAAGATAGGTTGAGTGGGGAGGGGGAAGAGAGGAGATTGCTGGAGGATGGGATGAGCAGATGACTCACTGTAAGAATGGCCTGCAAATATCCTGATCCCCAAGGCTTGTAATTAACTGTTCACCAGCTGCATGTGTTAGCTGCCCCAGAGACATGAGACATGCATGTCTGTTCGAACACACACGCTGATTTGGCTCGGACAGATCTCTCTGTTAATTCAAGAGTAAAAACAACAACATGGGGTGTAAGTGGGGATAACAGCTATTTATATAAACTGGACATATTTTTCCTGTGAAATGGCGGTGGCTGGGGGGGAGATAAGGTCAGCTATGCAAAACAAGAGGATTAAAAGTTCCACCCCAAGAAGGGCAGTTGGAGATGAGGGAAGTCTGTAGAGCTGCTTGTGTTTATTGTTTTTTCACACTGTGAGTTGTTAGGGGTATCATTTTATCAACCCAGTTGTTGTGGATATCATTTTATCAAACACCCACCCCCTACCATGGTCTCCAGGGTCACTTGGCTGCTTGACCTGCTGCCTCACTCCATGAGCTCTGGGTTGAGCTGGCAGGATGTGCCTGAGGGTAGGAGGAAAGGTACAGGTGCTGAATGCCAATTGACTATAAAGCCACTCTCCTGCCCTCTGCCATGGAAAACAAACTTTCATGACATGCTGGCCACTTGCAACATGAGGAATGAGTAGGCGACTGTAGCATGTCACGAATTTGAGCTCACATCTGCTCAAACATTGCAAACAAATGAGACACCAGCATTACGGGGCTGAAATGCCAGAGCAGCCCTGAATGTACTGGGCAGCCCTGGCAGCAAGGTCGGTGGGGGTCCTGCGGCTTCTCTGATCTTCACCACTTCCTTTGTTTCGAAATCCTTCCCTGCACCAGGGCACCAACACCGGCACTGCTTATCAGGGCGAAACAATTGCAGGTGAATGAATCACATCGGAGGGTTTGCTTTCTCAGCCTTGTTTACTTGAGGGCCACACTCTGAAGGATTACTGAATGTAGCTGTTCATGAGCTTTCGCCATTCATTTCTGCTCTGAAAAAGCACAGGTGGCAGACATGTGGCACACCACTGACGTTTCCAGGCTGCTTCTGCTACCTGACGTATTCACGTTCTTTTTGGAGATTGTGTGCTTCTGTTCAGCCTATTCCCAGCCTGGAAATAGGCAACGATTTAGCTGACAACAAACTTTGAGTAACAATGTAATAATAGGATTAATTCTTTTTCATTAGCAGTGCACTGAATGAAACGAACGCAGTACTTAACCATGCGGAATAGCTCATGTGGGGCTATTCAGTTGTCAAATGCTGTCACAGGATTTCATTAAGTTTTATAGCTGTTATTTAATAGATTGGTTTCAGTGGGACCATCTTCATTACTTTGCTGTCTCGAGCATTGTGGTGATTAATGAGGCAGTTGCAAGTATCCCCCTCATGTCTTTATGTCCATTCAAAAATGCAAATAAAATATTTTTTATGTTGTCACAGCATATATAGTAATGACAGATTTAGAAAAGATGACTCCTGAGTACAGAATCTGTCTCAGACACTGGAAATAGTGCTCATATATAAAATCAAGGGGGAGGGAGTTTAGTCCCCACCATACTGGAGTTAATGGTTGATAGCCTCAACAGAATTACATTCACTAACAGTTTAGATCTGGATTTGCTGGCTTTTGGCAAGTTAATAATTGTCAGTGGTATCAGAGGTTTTTCCTTGGGTGCCCAAAGCCTTTTAAACAAACCCATTTCCCCGGGAGAGCACTGTCCTTCATTAACCCTCCCCCAAGAGCTCATTGCTGTGCGGTGCTATCCCACTGCATTGCAAGTGCTGGAGCTTCATTTCTCCTCCACTTCCATTGAATCAGTTATTTGGAGGGCAAATACTCATATCTTTTTTTTTTTTTTTTTTCCTAGGGGGATATGAAACCTTTAACTCGCAATATCCTGAGTGCTGCGTGGATGGAAAACTCATTTCCCCAGAGAGGACTGAGGCAGAGAGAAATCTTGCCAGCCACTGTGAGAAGCCGAGTGCCAACCACAAACCTGCTTATGACCAGGTGTGTGTCACAGCTGTGGTGGGTGACCTTCCCCTTGTGGGTGTTCTCCCACCTGCCACTGGGCTCTAGAGGCTGGCAGGGTGCCAGTGGCCCTGGTGCTGGTGTGGGCTGTCAATAAGTTGTTGCAGTCCAGGCTGACAGCCTGTGTGCTGAGTAAGTTGCCCTTTATTTGCTGCTGGTCAGCTTTGCCTTCACCTGGATTCAAAATTAGGCAACGGAAGGAGGTAAAACACCCTATCTAGCCCCAAAACTGTATTTGTGAACTGTCTTTATCACAAACCCGGGTAGCATAAGCCATCAGCAGCTCACATCTCCCCAGGAGACTGAAAATGGGCAGGGTAGTGCCTTCCAATACTGTCATTTTTTTGACAGACAAAGAAGCACGCTTTGCCCGTTCCTCCTCTGAGATCCCAGGAGGCTAGTGAGGGGGCCAGGGCCATAGGGCTGCCTCTGAGAAGAGGCTTGAGAGCTACAATTCAACAGGGGAAGTGGGGTTTCCACAGGGGAAGTCATCATGTACCCACCCAGCCAGGGGAACGTGCGTGCTCCGAGATGTCACCCTGCGGTCAGGATGCTTCCGCCAGGGTGTTCATTTCCTGCTGCTGAGGGGAGTCCCCATGTGATGCCCCTCTGCTCTCCCAGGAACACCTCCCACACCAGGTGTCCTCCTGCTGCCTGGGTGGTTCCCAGCTGTCTCTGATGTGTGGGACTCGCAGTGTGGGCTGCTAGAGGTGGGGGTGGAAAGCCAGCTTCTCGCAGCTGGGCGGTGGCAGCAGCTCTTGTGCATCATGGAAAGTTACCTGCCATCTCCAAAACCCTTTGTGACAGACGGTGGCTTTTTTCTTTCATGGTCTCGTCACCCAGCCTTTGGCTTGTGTTGAGGAAGGAGGAACTGAGATCACATCTCGGGCTGGGTGACGCAGTGGGTGCTGCGCTCCGGAGAGGTGTGGGGTGCAGGGGGATGGGGAGCCTAGATCCACTTTTTTTGGTTTGTTTCACCTTTGGACAGGTGACCAGAGGGGCTAAGCCCTGGACTGAGCTAAAGTAGCTTCTTCCTCTGTCCTAATCTTCCTCCCTGCGGGGATGTGGCTCCCTGCCTTGCCCATGCTTCAGTAAAGCCTCAGTGGGAGCAGGCCTCGCATATGAAAGCACTTTGGGTGCATCACGAGGGGCAGCACTTTCAAGAGAGCCAGAAACATCCTGCATATGAGTGGGCTGGATCTGAATTTGTGCCTCACAGATGTGGACAAGAAAATTAACACTTTTTTCCAGCGTGGGCTTTGCCATGGGAACAATTAACTGGCCGGCAGCACTGGGGTCCAAAAAAGCCAGAGGGGGAGGGAGCAGGCATCCACACAGGCTCCCTTGGTTCTCTTGGGTCTCAGGACTCTTGAAAAAGAACTGCATGTTTCTGCTTCTTCTCTTCCAGGGTGGTCCAGTCGAAATCCTGCCTTTTCTCTACCTTGGTAGTGCCTATCATGCTTCCAAATGCGAGTTTCTCGCCAACCTGCACATCACAGCCCTGCTCAACGTCTCCAGGAAGAGCTCAGAGTCCTTCAAAGACCAGTATTGCTACAAGTGGATCCCAGTGGAGGACAGTCACACAGCAGACATCAGCTCTCACTTCCAGGAAGCCATAGACTTCATTGGTAGGTCCAAATGAACAAACACGCTTTGGTGGGAAGGACACATTCTATTCTGTCTGTTCCTGGATATCACAACAAAAACTTTCAAGCTCCTTCCATTCCCCAACATTTCTTTTGGCAGGATTTCTGTGAGGAAGGAAGAAAGAAGGATATTCAGAGCAAGGTCTCTGTCCTTCTCTCCAGGCTAGGAGGCTGAGGAAGGAAAATGGTTCCTCTTGTCTAACCTCTGGCAGATGGGACAAGTGAGCTGGTTAGATTTTTTAAAGCAAGTGTAGCTGTAACTTCAGCATGACAGGGAGTAAAGAAGTATGGTTAAATAAGACTGAAGTCTACTGAATTTTGTAAAGGAAAAAGAACAGTTTCTCAAACTTGCATGTCAGACCTGGTAACAGCCAGGTAAAGCAGAGTCAGTTTATCACCTTGCTGTGCTGACATATCCCAAAGGCAGGGTCTTAAAAATCCATTGTACCCCCTTATAGCAGAGCTCTTTCCATTCCTGCTTTTGATAATGCTGATATCGCTGATATCTCACCCTGGAATCAAACGTCCCAATGCAAAAAAATTAAGACTCCTTTAGAAAACTTTGTGCCATTCCCTTCCAAATCTTCCTGTGCTAGGCTGCGTGGGTGAGTGAAGGCCAGCTGTGCCAGGGAGCACAATGGAGAAGGTCCTCCATGAGAACCACAGGGTGGTTTGGTGGGGTGGAGCAGCCTGAGCTGGGTGGAGATAATGTTGAAATAGGTGCTGTTGCTCTCCAGGAATATTCAAGAGAGAAAGAGAAAAAAGCACGGTTATAGACTCTCTGGACTCATTTTTAGCTGAGTTTGAGTCCTTCAGCAGTGTGGGTAGAATTACAAAAACCTGACCTGAGGGCCCTTTGAGTCCTTCTCCTTCCTGGTAAGGGACATCTCACACCTTTTAGGGAAATAATAATTTATGGCATTCTTCTGTCCCATCCCTAACCCCTTCTGATAGCTGTCAAGTCACTTGGAAATTTCCCAGACTTTGAGGATGACTTTAATTTTCACTTTCTTTTAAAACTGGGTGTGTGGTGTAGATGCTTGGGATGACTCAAATCCATGTCTTCCTTGTTTTGTGCAGTAGTTAAATATAACTGGACATGGTGGCACCAGTCCCTGGTAGATGATCAAAGGCAGGCAAATGATAACTTGCTCAGCTCTGTTTCACTGAGCTCTACACTCAGCACAGTTATCCATAAATTGGAGCTTGAACATATTGCTCAAGGCAATAGAGCAGAGAAGGTCTATTTTTGAACAGTATTTTTGTGTGGAAAGGGCTTATTTTAAGCACATTCTCTTCAATCTAATAACAATCATTGTGTTGTGTTAGTAACCACAGTGGCTCCTGTTGTGTAAAATGGGTGCTTTGCATAAGCCTTTTATATCCTGACTTAAGTCCAAGCATCCTTTAACCAGGCTGTAATTAGCAACTGCCTACCAGTGCTTGTGTGCTTTGTGGTGAGGCCCCAGGGACTGAGCTCAGCCTCTCCACCCAAGGGCACCCGTCAAGGGCTCACCTCCTGGTACTGCTGTGTGCTGCCAGCTGGCCATGCACGCAGTTAGGACTTTAGGAAAAATCCTGTTTTTCTAGCATAGTTGATGAGGAGAAGGCAGCCCCTGCAGTTTTTGAAAGACCAGGTGGTGGGAGGGGTCACCAGGCTGGGCTTGGGTCATCATTTTGAGCTGCAGGCTGAGAAATGCATCTACAGCAAACACAAGTATTGCCCAGATATCTGATCTCTGTATCACAGTGTTCTGCAGTGTGGGTGTTGTTCCAAAACTTGTGTTTTGGAAAGTGTCACATGGAAGGGGACAGTGATAGACTTTAAAAAAAAAAAAAAATGCAAAAAGAACCAAATCATGATCCACAGATTCTGAAACCAAGTATCATCTCCAGCTCTGCTCCATCACAGGCTGTGTTTTGTCCCCCTTGTCCTTTGATCTCCATGTCTCCCTCAGTACCCAACAGGAGAGCAAACCTCTCCTTGCTGGCAGATCGGCATTATGCTGTACTCCCTGTCCAGGGCTGGGTGTGTGTCACAGTGTCCTCTCCATCCCAACAACAACTGACCTCTGCAATGCCTTTTTCCCCCTAGATTACGTCAGGCGAACAGGGGGCAAGATCCTGGTGCACTGCGAGGCGGGGATTTCACGCTCCCCCACCATCTGCATGGCCTATCTCATGAAGACCAAGAAGCTCCGCCTGGACGAAGCCTTCGATTACATCAAGCAGCGCCGGAGCCTGATCTCGCCCAACTTTGGCTTCATGGGCCAGCTGCTACAATACGAGTCAGAGATCTTGTCTTCCACTCCCAGCCCCCCCGTCGCCTCGTGCAAAAGAGAAGCCGCGTCTTTCTTTGCAGAGGAACTGACATTAGGCAAAAACTTTGAAGGCTCGTGTTTTGCATTTCCTACCTCAGTGCTGAGTTCTGTGCCCCTCCACTCTCCTGTCCACCAGCTGAAACTCAGCCCCATGACGGCATCTTCGTCTTGCTGAGTGCCGTGGGGAGACCAGAGGTGTGGTCCTCTGATCCAAACTGTGATCCCCAACAGGAACATTTCATGAACGTGCAATAGAGAAACTTCATCGACTTAGTCTGAGATGGAGTGGTTGTCATGGGTCATACGTTGTGACTGTAAGATGCAAGTGCTCTAAGTGTGGCAGGTTTTCTGAACTTTTATTGTCCTTTTTTAAAAAAAACCCAAGTGCTTTTTTTTTAGGTTTTTATCCACACAATGTGCACCCACTACTGTATTTCCAGATTCCTGGGGAACGACGAGAGTCTGTTTACTATGTTCTCAGTTCCCATCTCCTTCCCATCTTACTTTTGAAAAGACCCTTATTTAAAGTTTTAAGCAATAAACAGCAGCACCAGGGAAGAAAGTAAAATGAAAAGCAACATCTTTGCAACCACAGAGGTGGTGGGAGGGAATATTTGTTCAACTCTTTCTGGCTTTCTTCCTCCCCTCTCATGTGTCATGTTTCAGGGAGCAAAGAGCTGGTGTGCCAGGAGGGGGGGCCTTTCCCAGGACACTATTGCACAACCAGGTGAAAATCCCCTCTCCTGCTCCAGCCTCTGAAGTGTCAGGTATTGATCACAGTGTAACTGGATACCAAACCAGGTCCATTCAGGTGTGGCATTTCCTGTACTTCTACATTTGCCTTTGTACTGGACGTGCTTTTGACTAAAGCAGGGACTTAACCCACTATCAGCTACCCTGCTGAGCTATTATCCTCCCATCTGTTATTTAAGAACAGCCCTAGTATACTTGAATGTCTCCACAATCCTCATCCAAGTTACTTCCCATCAGATAACACTGTAACTGCTGGACTTCACACCAAAAAAACCCTGACAAGCTTTCTGCTCCAAGCCAACTCTTCCTCCATGCCTTCCCAAGTGTCCCCTTTGTGTATCCTGTGTGGTCAAGTGGTCTTGTTCAGTGTCATGTGACTTGCTTAGTGTGTGTGATCACCTCTAGTCAGCCTTTGTCCACAGAGGATGGTCTCTCGCTTGCTTGCATTGGCTTCTGTGTCTGCAGGGAGTTCAGAATGAGTGTCTGTCTGTTGACCATTTTATTATTTTTTAATATGTAATATGTATGGGAAACGGCAATAATTTCCAGGAGATCTCGTGAATGTGAAAAAAAAACCCTACAATGGTTTTTATGGAGTGTAAAAAATAATAAAGGAAAAAAAATGCCAGGAGAATAACGCTGTATGTTGTACTTGGAGTGAGCTGCAAAGGTGCTTCGGCAGAGCTCGGTGGCAGGAGAAGTCATCTGAGAAAAATGATGTGGTGTAAAAGTGATGTAAGAGGGTAGAAGAGGTGGGAAAATATCACTGGGCTTTGTGCTGAAAGCCACCGAGGTGCACCTCTACGGAGAGGAGAAGGTGAGGGGGAGGACTATTTTAAACAGTATGACATGAGTCACGGTGGCGTCACTTCCCAGCAGCTGGGCAGACACTTCTGTTTTGATTCATACATGTTTTATATAAGATTTACCATCTTGCTGAAGATGAAAATCTGAACTAGGCATGGCCCCCACTTCCTTCCTGGGCACACCACATGGCATGCTACATGCCCTGGTCCCTGGTGTGATGCTTGTGGGTGGGCCTGCAGCGCCCCTGGGTGCCAGGAACTAGGGCATGTGGGTAACACTTGTCTTTTCAGGTTTTTTTAAATGAGAAAAAACATAATTCAAAGTGCCAGCATCTCTGAGCCATTTCATGCCCCTTTTCATCTTGAAGTTTTCAGGCCTTTTTTAGTTCTTCACTGCATCACATTTATAACCTGCAAATTCCAAGTTACCCAGTTGAAAAACATAAGGTAGTTATCTGAGTTACAAAGCAGGTGTGCCCTGTGGAGTTCATCTGTTTGTAACTTTTTACCCCCAGGGGAGCAGATCTGACAAACGAGGTTGTCATTGCAAATGAGCCTTGGATTTCTTCCCTGTGTCAAGGGGATGTGGCAGCAGCTCTACTTGGGTTCTGGGAAACCCAAACATGGGAACCAGCAGCCCGGGAGGTAAGGCAGATGATCTTGTAAGAGCAAATCAATCAATTTTCTGAAAGACCTGATCGCTCCCCTTGGGGATCTCTAGAAAGTGCTCTCTGCCTCTCAGCCCACACAAGCACCCAAACAGAAAGCCTGCTGGGCTTTGGTGAGAGTGGCCGTGTCCTGAGCACTGAGACCTACAACCTTGACAGAAACAGAGTAGCCAACAGTTGTCATGAACACTGCATCAAACCCCAGCTGAGGGAATGAGCAGCTTTGTTTCTTAAGGATGGGGAAATTGAAAGCCTGTGCAGAGCTGAGGGTGTTTGCTATGAGAACTGCAGTGCACAAGGCAGTGGACTGAAGGAGTTAACGCTGGGACTGCTGGCCTTGGCAGATTTGACCATGGCAGCTGGAAAAGATCACAGGCCAGGCAGAGGAGCCAGGTATTTAACAGAGAGAGAAGGCAGCTGCTTTGGGTTTGGAGAGGAGCTCATCCTGAGCTATAAGCACAGTGTGTTGGTGGGTAGTGTTGGCAGGGGAGATGCTGGGCTGGCATTCAGGAAGGACAGAGGGCCAGAGCCCTGTGGGAGCCTGAAAAAGGGTTGTTGTCATGTCTGGACAGCAGAGCCTGAGGTTTATGCTCCTGCCCAGAGCAGGGTTCCCCTCTTTTTGGCTGGTCTCAGTCTACCTTTCCCTTCTGCAGAAAGAAGAACCAGGATCTAAGTCAGAGTGGATGTAAATGCTGCCTCCCAGAGGGGTGTGCTCACATGCATTTGCTGGTGCCTGCTCTGCTGCTTCAGTGCTCATGTGAGACCTCTGTCCCCAGCTCAATCCCTTGGTATATCACACCTTCTGAGGGACAACACAGCCATCTGACTGCAGGGCTCTGGAGTCAGAGTACGTGCTCTCCTCCCGCCCTGGCCACACTGCTCTCACAGGAAGAGAGGAGCTGAGGATCCAAGCACCAATATGTGAAGGTGAGTATATGCCAAATGTGGATGGCACCTACCTGGGAAAGGGGATGTAAGTTTGAACACACATGGGCAGGGCAGGAACCTTGGTTCTCTGTTTCTGGACACCAGCACATTATAGGTACCTCCATCCTTAGGGAAAGGAGCAGCTCCAACAGTGTTTTGTGGCTTGTGTGCTGAGAAAATTCCACAGATTGGGTAGAATGGAAGATTTCAGGGGCTTTTATAGCCCTGATGGGCTTGGGTTTGGGTGGTTTATTACCAAGGATGGAAGTTCAGATCAGGCAGGTGTGTGGGGAATGTCAGAGCTGAAAGATGGAGGCTGATGATGATGGGGCTGAACCAGCTGGTTCAACGTGTCTGTGTCCATCTGTCAGAGCTTGGCAGAGGAATAGGGTTCTCAAAAACAAAATTCTGATGGAAAGTAGAGACCTATGTAGCTATAACAGCAAGGGGAAGGCTATAGTAGGATGCTTTCAGACTTCACAAGAGGCAAATGAGGGAAAGATGCCAGGAATGTGCAGTACCCTGAGGCAAAACTTTGATTAGATCTTATCCTTATCCATTATGATTCTGAATCCAAAGAAGATGAGAGGAAATGGCAAAGAAAAGGGGGTTTTGCAAGTTCTGCTGCCCAAGGAAGTGCTGTTTCAGAGCTGTGCTGGTTCAGATGTGACATCTCTCTCCATTCACGCTTCTGGTGGGGCACCCTTGTGTCCTGATCAGCTTGGTGTCAGTCAGGAACTGTTTCAGAGGCTGCAGTGGGACCAAACAGGGCTTTTGCCATGTAGCTTTTAGTCCCTTTTAAGCTTTCAAGGGGCAGTCATGTCGCAAAGTGTGAGTGCTGTTGCTCAGCCTCTGTCTCTGCTTTGCACTTTCTGCCTTTTCTGTCTGCCTCCAAGACACACAAACTCTTCAAAAAACTGCCACAGAAAATGCATGTCTCTACGTTGTTGCAAATCAGATTGTGAAGAAATCTGGGGTGGGTGAGGATGGGTGGGTGTTGTCCTTAAGTGTCCTTAAGTGTTCTTTTAATCCATGCATTTGCTGGTGTGATTTGCAGTCTCTGCTGGTTACATAGCATAGGATTTCTCCAGCTACCCCTGCTTTCTGATTAAAGAACTTTCCAAAAGATAGAAATTGCATCCTTACCAGTCAAACCCAGGTAAAATTCACCTGATCCTTGGGGAGTCAGTACTGAGGCACCCATACCCGCTCCTTGAGCAACACAAGGCAGGCATATCTCCTTAGCTTCTTGCCTCCTGGTGGCGAGCTTTTTTTTCCAGGAGACAAAGCATGAATGAAGAAGTTATTCTGCAGGCGTTGTTATTTGTATGCTAAAAACAACATCTGCCTTGCAGAGAAGTCAAAGGTCCAAACGGGCCAGTAACACGGCAAAAAATATAGGTGAGGCCTCAGGTATGGTGAATGTGACCCTCAGTTTCCACTTTTCATGGCTTCATGCTAATTGGAGAGGAGACACACTGCCAGCTCACTCTCTGGGGAGAAAAAGGCAGGAACCAATTTGCAGAGCCACATAAATATGGAAGTGGGATTTTTTTTTGGCGTGGGAGGTGTTACCAGTACCACACATTACGGTTTCTTGGCTTTATCACATCGTAGGCTTTTACCGAGACGTGAGTAAGTTTGCTAAATAAGGAATATGAAAATAGCTTGTGAAATAGGTTGAGTCATCAGAGAAAATCAAATGGAGTTCTTTCACCAGGGCCTCAGTTGTTAAGACCTACTTTATTTTACCATTGCATTAGAAACTTCGGGGTCATTTCAACCTGTTTATTTCTGCTTTAAAATTCAAAGTAGTCTGACATCTAAGTAAGGCTTATCAAATTGGTTCATGTTTTCTGTCAGCAGTGGTTATACATCCCTATATGCCTTGCCTATGAACAATTGCAGGGAAGGTAAAGATTACCAAGAGAAATGGCTTCTGTGGTTATAGCTGAAATGCTCAGCACTTCTTCCAGCTTTGTCCAGCTACTGAAGAGGATTCACAGCCTGTAGATATCCCTTTCAAGTACTAACCTAGCTCATGGAAGTCACTGGCAGTTATTTGTAGCTCCTGGGAATCCAAGCAGGGACCTGTTGTGCTATACAAACACCAAACAAACACCAAACAAACACATAAAGCCAGTAACTCAGGACAAGGATTGAACATGAAAGGGAGAAAGAAGCTTAAAAGTCTTTAGGGACAGCATTGCCCTAAAA